GATCTCCAGAGGTTAATATATAATTTTTTGCTCCGGAGTCTTTTAACGACGACGGAGGTTCTCCGGAGGTCTACGCCTGAAGATTTGCGAAGATCTTTGCCAAAAAAATTTCCTGATGTATAATATAAGTGACTTGTTCAATATTATTAGTTGTATTCTGCTTGATATTTATGTCTCTAGATTTGATAGCTTAAGTTAACTGAATTTCTTTAAAATGTTTACTAGAAGATTTATGGTATTATATTCTATTTGACATTTATGTTTTTAGATTTAATAGCTTGTACCAATCAAAAACTATAGTTTTTAAAATATTTATTAGAAAGTATATATATATGATGAACTTTATCTATAACTATATAAACCAAAAATATGATATGAAAAGGTAATCTATCAAATATTAATATGTATTTCTAACAATATTTTTTAAACAAAAATAGATTAATGATTAAGTGATTTAAACTAATAGCAGGACTTCCATCTCTTAACTAATTCCACCTGATATGTAAACCTATTTATAAAGTATAAGTTCATATAGTTAAGTTAGAAACAATAGGTTATAATTAAATTATATATGTAATAGATTATTAATGTAATGATTATAAATTAAAGTTTAATAAAAATCATATATCTAATATTTATTTGTTTATAAAAAATATATATATATTATTTTTTATATATATTTATAATAAGTTAAATATTAGCTTGTTTATAATACCTATTTAAATTATATTAGAAAAGAAATTTTAAACTAGTATAACTATTAAACAATTTCAAATATTTATGAATATTTATTTAAAGTTAGAAGAAATTAAATTATAATATTTAAAAATATGATTAAAAATATATAAAGAATAATTAAATTTGTTTTGAATAAATATTTCAATGAAAAAGTTAAAATATCTATTATAAAATTGTTTTTTTGAAAAATATTAATTTGTTTATATTATAAAAACTAAAGTTAATTTTAATCTGTACTGTTTTAAGTTTGATTTTATTTTATTTTATGCCTATAAATAATAATATATTTGTAGTATTATATTGTGATTTTTAAATAAGATTATAAGAAAAAATTAAGGCTTAGTGGATATCTTAAATCAAATAATATAATTTAAAGTTAAATAAATATTAAATATAATTTTATATATTAGTTCAATTGCTTATTATATTATAAATATAAGTGAAAATTTGTTTTTTGATATTAAAATAAAGTTAATAATTTCTATTATTTGTTTAGTTTTTTTTATTATTAACAAGTATTAAATGCAAGACTTTATTAAATAGAGTTTATAGTTATTATATTAATGATCTTTTATATAATATGTAAATTAATTTTAGTTTATTGTGATTTAACCTAGCTATATATAAACTTATATATTGTATATATATTTATATTTTAAATAAAACTAATACAGAAAATGAAAATCTTACTATCAATTTTTAAACTATCTAATCTATTAGTTCAATTTTTATTATAGAATATCTTTATAAAAACTTATGATATTACTTGATAAGTTATCTTTTTATTTAATATCTTTAACTCATATAATTGTAGAATTAGAAGGATTTTATATATATATATATTTCCTAATAAATACTTCAAAAACTATAGTTCTTGATTGATACAAATTATCAAATCTAAAAACTTAAGATTAGATATTTTAAGAGAATTTAATTGGCTTAAGTTGTCAAATCTAGAAACATAAATATCAAGCAGTATATAATTTCTATATATAAATAATATTGAATTTTAACTATAATTGTATTATATATTAGTATTTACATTAATAATTTCTTTTAAATTGATTTTATTTCCTAATAGTATGTTATATTACAAAATCTGCTATACCAAAGAAAATTATAAGCTTTTATTGAAATTAGACTAGAAATTTTTTCTTATATAATTTTTTTTACTTCAATCTATTTTTATCTTATAATTGTCAAAAAGATTAGAGATCCTATTTTCATGTAACCTAATTAAATTTAGTTAAAATCTGGATATTTAGATACAACATTTATAGAAAAACTAATAAATTTATAAATGAAAAATAATTTTTATATATTTGCCTTTTATAGGTATTGAACTAGGGATATATGTTTGAAGATTTGAAAGTATTATTTATTATATTATAAACTTATATATTATTATTTGTTTTGTTTTTTATTAATTAGTAAGTAGTTTTTTTTTTTTTTTTTTTTAGTTCAACTAGCTAGACCTTGCCTAACGTGCTTTATTTAGTTTACATCTGTTACTTCTTTTAATTAGTAAGTAGTTAAATATATATATAATATTTTTAAAATGAAAATTATAACTAAAACAATAAAAATTAAATATTAATTAGAATATAATTGATAAAGAAATTTTTAGATAAAAAAAATTTCTAATAATAATTTGATTCTAAATATAATTAGATTATTAAATTAATTATATAAAGACTTTTAATAAATCTATTGGATAAAGTATTTTAAAACCAAAGATACAATATAATTAATTAAATATTTTGAGTATAAAAAAGCTTTTGTAAATTATATATACTTTGATAATATTATAGATTTTTTTATATTATTTTGTATAATTATCAAAATCAAAATTGTTAATAAAAAATTGAAAATTATTACTTATAATTTATTACTATAGTATATTGTATAATAAATTAAATATAAAATTTCAAAAAACTTAAACCAGTGGATTAATAACATAGTGAGTATGCTTTCTGGTCTCCAAATGCATGTTTCTAGTTTAATATCCATAGAGAAACAAAATATATAAAAATCACTTTCATTTGTGGATTTATTGGATTGTTACAAATATCATACCCAGATATCTGAATTATGATCAAATTTAATTAGGCTACATGAAAATGAGATCTCTGATTTTTCTAACAATCATGAATTGAAAATAGGTCAAAGTAAAAAAGATTGTATAAGGAAAGGCTTCTGGTTTAACTTTGATAAAAGTTTATAAAACTTATCCTTCTGCTATGACAGACTCTGTAATATAAAGAACACTTTAGTCTAAGGTTATTTCAATTTGATACTTGTTTAAAAGAAAAGAATCCTAAAGAAAATCTGAAGCTATAAATAGTAACAAGAAGTATAAATATCTTCTTTGAAAAATTAAATAAAAAGTATTTGAATTATTTAAGTATTCTAATCAACTCTACAAGATACAGGATCTTTGACAGTGAGCAGTTATAAGGTTTCTGAATCAGGACTTAGCAAGAAGATTGGATTTAAACTGGCAGCAGGACTTTCCATTCTTGAATTTGTTTCACCTAGTGTGTAGGCTTCACTTCTATAGTAATAAGTTCATATAGTTGGATTAAATAAGTGATAAAAACAGATAACTTAAATAGATCTTTGATGTAATATGAATTTGTTGAATATAAATAACTCAATAAAAACCAGTACATCTAGTACCTTTTATTTTAAAAAAAAAAAAATAAATAAATAAATTTCAAAAAACTTTTATTTTATTAAATTTTTACAATATATAGTTTATTTATAATAAAAAATTTCTAAATCTATTTTAAATCCATTATATTTCGATTATTATTAAATTATTCTTAATTTAATATTTATCATCAGTTTTATATATAATTAAATATACTCTATCCTTAAGATCTTTCTTGCATCGATTTTTTTTTAAAAATGATCAATTATATAATTAAATATGTTGGAAAAGTGGCGTTGCTATAAAAAAAATAATAATAATAAGGCCATTCTTTAGTAACAAGAACAATTAAATAACTTATAAGGATAATAGAATATTTACCGTAAAATATTAACAAATCGTTAGCTAAACTAAGTAAGGTAAGAAATAACTTTAGTATCGGGTGCTTATTGTTTCACATTGCAAACTGCAGGCATCGTGTTTCTTGTAAGCATATACAGTATTTATATCGGATAATACCCCATCGACCTCTTTGAAAACTGTTTTCTCGAACAGAAAAACTAAGCTCCGTTGCGTTCGAAGAATATAGACTTCGTTATAAATAAATTGAATATTGTATTTCAATACAATTTGGATATACAGTACACGAGTTCCGTACTCCATTGCTGACATAACAACACTAACAAAGTCAGATAATATTAAAACGCGATTAATCATGTTACACCGCTTATTATGGTCTCTAAACATGATTTAAACATCTTTTTCCTACTTTCTTTTCTTTTAGAACATTGAAACTAAAAAAATGGCATCAAAAAAGAAGGTAATTACTATAGGTATAAGGTGAGTATTTTCTTATTCTTCTTATTTTTTTGGAAAACCAATTAAATACTAATTCATCTATCGATAGTGGAGCGTCCTGTTCTGGTAAAACAGTAAGTTGTTTTTATAGAAATCCTTTTTCAATGAGCATTATTGATAAAGTTTAACTTCTTTAGACATTGGCAAGATTGCTTCAACAAATTTTACCGAATTCTAAAATATTTTATCAAGATGATTTTTTTAAGGTATGAATAATTTATTCCGGATCGCATCACATAAAACAACATTTCATTTCTTCCCATTAATCAAATAAAATTCCTCTCGGAAGCCCCAAAAAGACGTTCCGGTTGATGCCCCTACAAATCTGGTAAATTGGGATTGCCCGGAAGCAATAAATTTCTCGGATTTCATAGAAACCCTACAACAACTTCGCAAAACCGGATTCATGCCTGCTACATTCGAATCAAAGGAATATCGAAATATTCGTCAAGAGATCAAAGGTGTTGAATTAGAATCACTAATTGAAAATTTATCTTTAGAAGTTAGAAAAGTTTTAGGTGATGTTGGAAAGGTTTTGCAAGAGAACAAAATATTAGTTAGAGAGCAAAATGATGTTGACAAGATCAATGGATCGGATATTCGCAAATTTAATGGAAATATTAATGAACAAGAAAATAACGAATGGTGTTTTGTGATAGTGGATGGATTTTTATTGTATCAAGATGTGCAGGTGGTAAATGAGTTGGATGTTAAATTATTTATTAAAGCGGATTATGAGACCTTAAAGAAGCGAAGAGAAGAAAGGAACAGTTATTTTACACTTGAAGGTAGATACCTTTCATTACTATTTCTGAGGGGAATCTTTAAAAAAAAACCTACGCAATCGTATTGACTCATTTTTTTAACCTCTCACCACTATCTAGGCAATTATTGGATTGATCCACCAAATTATTTCGACAGTATCGTTTGGCCGGAATATGTTAAATATTATAATTACCTATTATCCAGAAACAAGGAAATTGGATCTACAATCAACGATTTAATCGTGTTAGAATCCGTTAATAAACAACAAATCAAAGAAAATATTGAAAAAATCGTTATGATGACTCTTAAAGTTGTTGAGAAGAGCAACATCTATAATAATATCAAAAGCAGCAATGAAGGAAATAGAGATAACTTCGAGAATTTTAATGCTAAGCTTAACAATACCAAAAGTGGAATGATAGAAATCAGAAAGAAAGAAGAAAGTAGTAACGGACTTAACAATGAAATCCCTGTATACAGTTAATGTTAATCGTAAAATAATTTACACAAAATATATATGACAATTGAATGTGTTCCACGATAACCTCCCAATAAATTTCAATAGATCTTTTTTTTGTTATGTTAACATCGAAGAATTTATACAGGCTCAAGTAAAGGCATGTAATAATAAATAAATTTATATAATAATATGAAAACTATATGTCTTTCTATTAAGGTTCAATTTAAGAAAATTATTTATTTTAGACAAAATCAACGTTTCATAATATCATTATTATATACAGCAGCTTTCAAAAAAGAATTTATCATTATTAACCTAAGTTTAACTTAACTATTTGCAATAATTAATATTTTGAGTGCTTCATTTGTAGTATATTTTATTGAAATTTACCATATTTACTGTAAATTAATAGACCATTTGTTGCTAATGAGAAAACGCAAGTTCTAATTTATCCATAAATAATCATTATATAGGACTTTTTTCAAATTAGCATGGTTGATTTGATTGCAGTATTATCTTGCATAAATATAAGTTTTTTAATAACAAATAGTAATGAATAGCGCATTTTTATAAACCCAATTTTTTATTTATTTTAAATCACTTCTTTTATACAAAATTACTTGTGTTTATAAAATCATAAAGTGGTATTATTTTCAATATTACAATAACAATTTTTTTAATCAAGTTTCTCTTTATGATTTGGTTTTTATAAATTCAGATTTGACTTTTTTCTTATATTTTTAATTAAAATTTTTTTTATAAATTTATAATACATTATAAATAATTTTTTTTCTTTAATAACACATAAAATATCAATAAAATATAATTAATAATAAAAATATAATTTAATTTAGAAAATTGTTTTTTTTTTTATAATTTTCAATCAAACTAGAGTCATTTATTTATTAAATCATAATAAACTATTACAAATAGAATTGTATATATAAATTTTTTAAACCCAACTTACCTGTTTATAATATTAAGTCTCTAAATATGATTTATAAAAATAATATATTGTTCATCTATTATTTAAAATCAAGATCTCTTTTATATAATAAAGTTATAGTCTATAGATCATTTTTACAAATTATATATTATAAATTCAAATTAAGTTTTTAATTTAACATTAACTATTTTTTATTATATTTTATAAATTCATATATTAGTTTTTTAACTTTATTTATTTTATCAATATATATTTTTAGGTCCAATATTATTATTATTTTTTTTTTATCTTGATTACTTGAGAACTTACTTTTGGAAGTGTTTGATTTTTTTGAAGATCTTTATATAAAGTTTTTTATATTAGAATTTAACTTGTATTCTATTGATAATATTGATTTGTATAATTGAAATTTTTTGTGCTTAAGTTATAAAAGTCTTAAATAAATTATTAATAATTTAAAAAAACAGTAAACTTAAATGATTATAATTTTAATACCAACAAAGATAAAACTTTATTAAGATTAATTGAGTATTCTTTTATATATATTGATTTTTATACAATATAAAAATACATAAATAATAAATATAAAAATATATACAATATATTTATATTGGACTTAATCTTTAGAAATATATGTATTTAATTAATATAAAAAAATAAAAAAGTAAATAAAAAAAATAAAAGAAAAAGATATACAGTATATATTCTATAGCTTTATATTTATAATTTGATTATATTAATTTATAATAATTTAATTAGTAACACTTGATGATATATCATATCATCAGGGTTAAAATTATACTATACATATATCTGATAATTATCTATAAATATATCTCAAACTTATAGATTATCAAGGATAAATCAAATATCTTCTGAAATGTTTAATTCATAGGGTACAGTATGGATCCTATAGTACAGTCAAGGTTAGAATTGTTATATAAGATATTTTAAGATTTTTTTAATTCTTGAATTCAAACTTAAGATTTAAATAATTTTTTTTTTTTTTTTAACATAGGTAAACACCATTTCTTTATTTATTTGTATATAACAAGGTATACATTATGGAAAGAAACAACATCTCTCATATGAAATTTACAGTAAGTTAAATGCTAGCTTGTTTACAATAATCACTTACCTTCTACTAGAAAAGACATTTTAAACTAGTGTACTAATTAAGTGATACCGAGCAGCTGTGGATACCTACTCAGAGTTTTGTGAAATAATGCTACGATAGTTAGAGATGAGATTATATATACATTTGGAGTAATTGAATTTGCTTTGAATGAATATTTCTGTAACAAGAGTTGAAATGTAGACTATAATAATTTTAGGGACTGAGGATGAAATGTCGTCATTGGAAAATGAATTGTTTCTTTGTGTTCTTCTTTTATTGGCATTATCATTATTACTATTATTACTAAAAAGAGTATTTGTGTTAATAGTGTTGATAGTGTTTGTATTATTGTTACTGTTGGTGGTGTTGTTATTATTATTGTTTTTCCTTTTTTTGAGGTTTTCATTCCATTTGATGCCTGCGATGGGTGAAGTGTTTGCTGTGCTACATCAGGGTTTCCAAATATGATTGTAAGAAGATATAAGAGCTTCGATAGATACTTGGATCCACTTCTATATAGTAGTGTGCAAAAAAAACCAGAATTTTTTTTAACACATATTTTTATTAATAAATTAATATAAAATTATTTAAATATTATAAAACTTTATAAATTTGT